TTTTTTTTTTTTTTTTTTTTTTTTTTTTTTTTAAGACTAGTCAAGTGCAGTAGTGAGGAGGGGGGAAAGTAGTAGAACAAGGAGTTCAATCTGTAACTGACTGTGAACAATCACGTGAGATAACTCACTACCTTCGGACCAGCCTGATGTATTTTTTCATAGTAGGGATATACTTTACAAGGGGATTGGCTAGATTTTAAAATTTTCTCTGGCTGATGCTGGTGACAAGACTTTTTTTGTGTTTTTAGCTTTCCTCCTAGCTATATAGCATATGTGGCTCCCCTCCCCCACCAAAACCAAAAACTGTTGCGGCATATTTACAGGATAGAGGATGAACACAGAACACAAAACACAAACACAGAACGCAAAGAAAAATGGGGACACACATACAGACGGTTGACTTGAGTAATAATACACTGGATCAATTTTATTTTTATACTCTAAAAAATTGAAGTTAGTTCCTTGTACGTAACCACTTAGGCATTTCAGCAATGGCCATAAATTCTGGAATACATAGGCTTAGGGAAGCAGATATCCCCTGGCTCAGAATTTCCAGGTGGTTGCTCTAGGCAGTAGGCATAGATCACCAGACCTAGGACTGAGATTAGCAAGGATGGGCAAGGTAGCCACAGGGAACATTTCTCATCCCCAACTTCTCTTAGGGTGACCCCTAAGATCTTAGGCTGACCCCCTGTGGCTGTGCATGGCTTAGGTCACCCCTCACTTGAGGGGTCTTACCTGTCATTGAGTAACCAGCCATCTTAAGGGGTTTGAGCAGCAATCACAGGAACAGTGTGTTTATCCTGTGGCTTCCAGACCCCCATTGCCGTGGGGCTGGGCATCTCTTGCTTAAGTGCTGCTCAGGTCCTCTGTTATGCCTCTAGGTAACAGCCTTGTTTATCACAACGACCTTGTCTGGAGCACATTGCTTTTCAATGCTCTGGGCAGAACACGTACATTACTCACTAAATTTAATTCTTAAACTAGGAAAATATATGTCAGTCCCCTACAGAAAACTAGTTTAGGTTCCCCAGTACACACTCTCAAAGCATTCTGTTTTTTTCTTTCATAACGGTCATCACTGTTGTAATTTACTTGTTCATTGTCATTCTTCCTTACTGGTTTATATGTTCCATGAGAGACTAGGCTGCATCTGTCTGTATTTTTTTTTTTTTTTATTTTACTAGATGGGAAGATCAAACTGTCTGTATTTTTATCAGAGAGTATGGTACCTAGAATGCAATAGATAATGCAGTAGATATTTGCTGAATGCAAAATGAATACCATTGGCCGGGCGCAGTGGCTCACGCCTGTAATCCTAGCTCTCTGGGAGGCTGAGGCAGGCGGATCGTTTGAGTTCAGGAGTTGGAAACCAACCTGAGCAAGAGTGAGACCTTGTCTCTACTATAAATAGAAAGAAATTAATTGGCCAACTAATATATATAGAAAAAATTAGCCAGGCATGGTGGCGAATGCCTGTAGTCCCAGCTACTCGGGAGGCTGAGGCAGGAGGATACCTTGAGCCCAGGAGTTTGAGGTTGCTGTGAGCGAGGCTGACACCACGGCACTCACTCTAGCCTGGGCAACAAAGTGAGACTCTGTCTCAAAAAAAAAATGAATACCATTTTCTTTTTCTGTTAACACTTTTCATATATTTGTGTTCTAAATTTTTGTTCAGTTTGTCATCATATTTTCAGGCTTTGCAGGTATCTTATTTTGTTCCCCTCCATACTGACTATGATAACTACTTAACTAGTATTGTATTTCAACACTGATATTTCTGTATTATGTGATTACTAGTTTAGCTAAAAGCTACTCAATTCAGTGGGAGCAAGAAAATAGGTTATCAGACATTAGAATGCTGCATAGGTAAATCTGAGTTTGTTCTCGATCAGTCTCCTTGAGATAGATACCTGGGGGATTTGTGCTTTCTCCCAGCAAAGGTGATCTAGCTTTTATATGTATACACAGGAGGAACAGATGCAAACTAAGAGTGGTGAAGTGCTTTCTAAAAAAAATGCTTGAGTAAGCTGTTAGCATGTATTCAATAGGATTTATGTTCCAAGTTGATAGTCCTAGGCCCTTTGCTGACAAAGGAAAATGAGCTCATGACTTTGAACAGCATATAAATCCGTGCTGTGTGTACAAACTTTTTTCTCCTGTGGCTATTTCCCTGGCATGTCTTTAACATCATCCTAGGGAATAAGAGAAAATATCTTGCCTAGAATCTGTATGAGGTTCTGTGTGTGAGAGAAAGAAGCTCCACTGTTTTACCTGATGTAAAACTCTGAGTCCCTCTGTCTCTTCTCTTTTGGCACTTTAGCCTGGGAGCAAAGCCCAACTTTTACTCACCACATCAGGCATTATTACCAGCTTGCCAGGAAATGGCCCATTTGTACAGTGTAGAGCAGATGGCGGCCTTCAGGTCCTAGCATGTAGTGTGCCCTTGCTCCAGAAATTTGGTGCCAGATAGAGCTGTCAAGGTGGTATTTCTCTTGACTTTTGCTTTGGTGAAGTGATGGTGGTATTGGAAAAGTGCTCTATCCTTCAGGACCCCTCCTAACCTTCTGTAGACTATGTTTTTACTGAAGCGGTCATCAGGGCTAGTGGCTCTAGTGTAGGGATCCTGTACTTAGGGAGCTGTTGATGAAACATTGGCAGGAATTATCTGAAGCTA